TTACCCAGGGAGGTGGTGGAATCTCCTTCCTTAGAGGTTTTTAAGGTCAGGCTTGACAAAGCCCTGGCTGGGATGATTTAGTTGGGAATTGGTCTGGCTTTGAGCAGGGGGTTGGACCAGATGACCTCCTGAGGTCCCTTCCAACCCTGATATTCTACGATTCTATGATACAGACTGGGGAACGGGGGGGACAGGGACGCAATGAGATAACACTGGTCAGCATGATCAGCAGTGGTCCCCACACACCAGGGGACTAACCAGCAAGTTTTTGTTGGCTTCACACGACAAAGGAGAGTTTTGAGGAGGGATTTGAAGGTGGGTAATGACTTGAGGGAGCATTACTGATTGTCCCAGGAAAGCAGGAAGGGGCTTGTTTGAAAATGTAACCCTTGGGTGAGCAGAACGGCACTACGCTTTGTCGTAGGGGTCTGCAAAAGCAAGCCCTACATTCACAAAGCCTATGGCTAGTGTCAGGACACACTCCCGCCCCCTGGAAGTTTATAAAGCTTAACCGCAGAACCCCAGCGTGTTCCTTTCCTCCATCCCGTTGCTGCCGACGCTGTCCGGAATACATGCCAATTCTCCCTGAAGCTTTCACCTCCATCTCCAGCAGCTACCGAAAAAGTGGAGCTGGGTGGGAACTGCAATTTCCCTCCTGTGAAAATGTTGCATTTCTGGCGGAAGGAAATAAAATCAGTCCAAGTTGGAATAGAACGTCAGAGACGTGAAACTGTCCCGGGGAGAGGGAGACATGTTCAAACCGTTCAACTTCGGAAGACCCGAAACGGAATGTTTTGAAAATTTCCAGCCCCACCTCCCCAAGCTCTGTGGGAATGCAGAGTTGGCCTTCCAGGCTATCGGCCTCTCCTGGGGCAGAGCTGGGGAGCCAGGGGAACCATTTCAATTGTGATGAATCAGCATTTTCTCTTGCAAAGCAGTGTGGGGTAGCGGATAAGCCTGGTTAAATATCTAGGCCTGCGGCAGTGACCTCGCATAAACCGTTTGCCAAGTTATTTGCAAAACGAAAGGAAAATTGTTGAGCAGTTCTCCTCTGTCTTCTGGTTTGGGGTTCAGGCCTTAGTCAGTTGCAAATTGGAATGGGATGGGTTACCTAGGAAGGTGGTGGAATCTCCTTCCTTAGAGGTTTCTAAGGCCCAGCTTGACAAAGCCCTGGCTGGGATGAGTTAGTTGGGGTTGGTCCTGCTTTGAGCAGGGGGTTGGACTAGATGACCTCCTGAGGTTTCGTCCAACCCTGATCTTCTGTGATTCTATTAAATTGTATAGGAATTTAAACAGCACTTAAAAGAGGTGAGATTTGACCTTCTGGTCTCTTTTGCAGTTCAGGGAACTGTAGGCTTAAGAGGGTATTTAGTAACACAAATGGTCAACAGTAGCAGATTTGTCTTCAAATTCAGCAGCTTTGGCATGGTGCACAAAGGTTTATTTTTGTTATGACTAAAATGTTATAAAATGCCCCATAGACAAACCCTCCTGATCTATAACCAACATTCTGGGATGGACACATGAGGCGCAAGAATGTGGCCAGAGGAGAGGTCCCAGCTGTTTGCGATTTTGTGCAAAAAGACAATCTGGTGAAAAATTGCTGCAAGGGGTGATTTTTTTTTTGAACTTTTATTTTCTTTTATCTCTAGCAATTCATTTTCCATCAAAAACTATGATGCTATGAAAAAACTTCAAATCATGCCCATTCTACGCTTTGGTTTTTGCCATCTCAATGGGATATTTTAGACAAGAAAAGTTTCAAACTCCTGTTAAGCTGAATGTAATCATACAACCCTGACTCTGGGTGAAGCAGGCCAGAAAAGGGATTTTCGGTCCAATGGGAAATTCCAACATTTTGAAATGTTGTTATCCCAAATTGGGACAAAAATAGCTAAATTTGGTGTGATAAGAAATATTCTGCTTTGGTAAACTCAAAATGACTGTGTTGCGAAGTTGTTCTAGCTGTGTCGGCCCAGGATACGCAATGTTGAGGTTTGATATTCTATGATATTTATATTTAGACATGAGAAAGTCAAACCAAAATGTTTTGAAACTCTTCCATTGAAAATGTCATAGAAATTGTCACGAGTCCCGCACAATGTTTCGATTTCAACCAAACAAACTTTTCCGATGGAAAATTGTTCCACAGAGCATTTTCCAACCGGCTCTAACCACATGGCTGCTACCACTACACCAACCTAATGCAGCAAACAGTGGAGGAGCGGGATGGGAAGGTGACACCCTGCTCTGATGCAGCTGGCCGCTGGGGTCATTGGCGCTGACTCCCTGGGTGCTCCAGGGCTCAAACACCCACCGAAAAAAACGGGGTGCTTAGCCAGATTAATCTTTTGTGGTGCCCGGGCCATGGCCCCACCCTCTGCTCCACCTGTGCACTGCCCTGAGGCCCCACCCCCGCTCGGCCTATTCCCCCCCAAGACCTAGGGTGACCAGAGAGCAACTGTGAAAAACGGGACAGGGCATGGGGGGTAATAGGCGCCCATATAAGAAAAAGTCCCAAAAAACGGGACTGTCCCTTTAAAAACAGGACTTCTGGTCACCCTACCGAGACCCCACAGGGCATCTTTCCCTTGAAGCCCTCCCGCTGCTCTCATGGGCGGGGGGAAAGGGGGCAGAGAGGACCACCCACTGGCAAAAACAAAAGTCAGGTTTGGGGTCTCAATAGCATATTCAAAGTGTCAATATCCGTATGCTCATGAGCACCTGGAGGGCATTTCTGCTCAGCCCTCTCAACATCCCACTCAATACTGGGTGCTCAGGCAATCAAAGATCAATCGGAAACTGGCTTAGTGAACATGCTGGGTGCCCAATTGACAATCAAGCAGGACTGGGACTCAGGAGATGTAGGTTCTAGTCCCTACACTTGCACTGCCCTGCTCTGTGACCCTTGGGCAAATTGCTTCCCTGATCTGTGCCTCAGTTTCCCCTTTTGTCTCATCTATTTAGCTTCTGAGCTCAGGGGGTGTCAAGGCTCCTTCCCCACTCTGAACTTTAGGCTACAGATGTGGGGGCCTGCATGAAAACTTCTAAGCTTAACTATCAGCTTAGATCTGGTCCGCTGCCACCACTCCCAATGTGCTAATTCCCTTCCCTGGGTAGCCTTGAGAGACTCTTCACCAATTCCCTGGTGAATACAGATCCAAACCCCTTGGATCTTAAAACAAGGAGAAATTAACCATCCCCCCTCCTCTCTCCCACCAACTCCTGGTGGATCAAGATCAAACCCCCTTGGATCTAAAAAATAGGGAAAATCAATCAGGTTCTTAAAAAGAAGGCCTTTAATTAAAGAAAAAGGTAAAAATCATCTCTGTAAAATCAGGATGGAAAATAACTTTACAGGGTAATCAAACTTAAAGAACCCAGAGGAACCCCCTCTAGCCTTAGGTTCAAAGTTGCAGCAAACAGAGGTAAACACCCTAGGAAAAGGTACATTTACAAGTTGAGAAAACAAAGATAAAACTAACACGCCTTGCCTGGCTGTACTTACAAGTTTGAAATATGAGAGACTTGTTCAGAAAGATTTGGAGAGCCTGGATTGATGTCTGGTCCCTCTTAGTCCCAAGAACGAACTACCA